CCCCAAGCACCATCCCCTCAGGCCCGCCGGCGCCCGCCCCGCCGCCGCCCGCCCCTATCCCTGCGCCACCGCCAAGCGGCGCCTCCAGCTCCGCCAGCTGCTGCTCCATGGACGCCCCCTGGTTGTACTTCTTGCAGCGGCAGCGGTACAGCAGCCGCAGCCACCGGTGCTCCTGCGGCAGCCTGAGGCCATCCACCAGCGCCAGCTCCTCCGCATTAGTCAGCAGGTGGTGGTCCAGAAGCGCGGCCAGCGCCTCCTCGCAAAAGGGGTCGAGGCGCAGCGCGGCGCGGTACCACTGGGCGGCGGCGGCGCGGTTGTCCAGCGCCTCGTGCGCGCGGCCGCGGAGGAGGCAGGCGGCGGCGGGGCCGGAGACCTCGCGGCCAGCGCCGGGGCCGGCGCCGGCGGAGGGGGACTGACAAGGCAGGGATGGGACAGGGCGGCGGCACGCGCGGGTTGAGCGGATGCGGCTGGCATCGAGTGAGCAAACCAAAAAGATCTGAGCGTCCTGTGCTCGACGCGCCTGCTGCAGCGCTAGGCGTTCCCCCCGGGGGCTTTGTCCCCACGCCCGCAGCCATGGCGGGCCCCCCTGAGCCCGCGCCGCCGCCCGCCGCCCTCGCCGGCGGCCCGTCAGGCTTGCTCCCTGCACGACCCCACTGCATGCAGCCCCCCATCGCACCTGACTGGCCGCGAGGTCGTCAGGCTCCGCGTCCGCCAGCAGCACCAGCACCTCGTCCCACTCGGCCACCTCTGACAAGCACTTGGCCGCCAGGTACTGGAACCGGGCGTCCGCCATTGGGGCGTGCTGGCGCAGCAGCACCGCCGCGCGGCGGAATTGACGGCTCACATAGTAAGTCTGCGGGGGCCGGCGCGTGCATAGACGTGTGTGGTTTGAATGTATGCTGCTGATGTTGAGCATATAAGATTGGCAGGGCCCGGCTTCGCTTTGCTTGCTGGGCTGCAGAGCACGCACGTCGTCGTGGCCCCAAATGATCAACTGACGTGTGCGTGTGGAAGAAGGCGCACCTGCGCCAGCAGGAAGACATCGGCTGCGCTGTAGCTGGTGAGGCTAACCAGCTTATCCGCAAAGAACACCGCCGTGGGGTAGAGGTGCTTGGCGATGCAGTCCTGCACCAGTGACCGCAGCAGGTGCGCCTGCGCGGCAGGCGTCGCTGGCGCAACCATCGCAGCGCGGTGGACGCCAGAGGCTCGCGGAAGCTTTTGATGCTAGTCTGAATTTTTTGAAGGAGTTGATAAAGAGGCGCTGTGGGCTGGCAACAAGCTTAGATCGCGCAATTCATCGCGACTTCCACCGTATCGTTCGCAAAATGTACGCGAAATTGAGATTTAAATTCATCAATCGAGATAATGAGTTCTGGCAAAGTATGCTGTGGGCGGTGTTGCAACTGCGCGGTGTCCAGATCGCTCGAAGTGTGTGCAGCTGTCGGCAGCGCTGTTCAGCTTTCGTCTTTCGATGTGTCGAGCAAGCGGGCTAGTCAACCTGATCTACTGACCCAAATGCAATTGAAAAAGCATCATCATTATACTGTGCGCCTTGCATACCAGTACATGCCCCCACTTAGTGGGGGCTTGCACAGAGATCTAGGCTGTGCTGAGCAACAGGCCACGCAACATCTACAGTCAAATGTCAGACAAGGCCCTTGCTATCATTCTTGTCCATGACAGCGGGATCGAACAAGTTTGACATGTCAAGTCAAGGTGACTCCTAGCCTCAACATTTTTGAAGAGAGGGCATAGTCCACACGGCAACGAGGCACTATGATAACACAACAGGGCCATAAAGAGACGGGAAACTCACGATTTGCCTTCCCAAAGTTGACTTAGATTGCTGTGGAGGGAGTGCACCAGTGAGGCCCTGGGGGTTCCGAAGAGTAATATAGATCTACAGTTCTAAACAGCTGATCTCAAAACATTGCGCCCACATTATTTTGTTGCGAAAATACGAGTTCAAGGCGGGGAGCTGGAACTTACACTGGTGCAGGCCCAGGCACCCTGCTATAGTGACCCGGCCGCCACGCAGGTGGGTTGCTCGGCTATCACCGGGGAGCGTGCGCTTTTGAAGCCAGCAGCACGGCAACCCCCGGCCTTGGGCGCCGCCCCAGGCCTGCGCAGTGCTGGAGAACGGCCACCTGCGCCAGCGGGAGCGAGGGTCGGCTATCACCAGGGCCAACGCGCGTGGAGCGCTCGCCTGGCCGTCGCGCCGCCCGTGCAAAGCCCACGCCGCGCGGTTTGAAAAAAGTGTGATGGTGGCGTGTCGCAGCAAAGTCGGTCGTCCCTGCTGGCCTCCCAGTGCTCGGCTCGAGCCAGTGCACATGTGCAGGTTGCCCTGCACCCGGCCCAACACTCTCACGATGAACCAGGGCACAAATAATGTGCACCCAGGGATGCACATCCAAATCAACACCTTCTCGGTGTGCTGTGATGTGCCTGTTGTGGTTGGCAGCCGGAAAGGAAGAAAACAACAGATATGCAAGACAGTAACGCTGGCGCAAACTGTCGTCTCAACAACTTCCAAGTGTCTTCGCGTTGGTCAGGAACGAGTCAGGCGCGAAATTGCAAGTCGACTGCGGGACCAGCGCAGGTAGGGGCCGCTCTCATGAGCTGGGCAGCATGAGAAGGGCCGCAAGGCTTGATGATGTCATCGTGCATCGATGTTGTGCTGCGTATTATTGAAACATGACAAGGAATCAGCACACAAGGAATGTGCCAGACACAGTATACAGAAACAAGTTTGAAACACCTTGTACACTTCGTGCTCACTGGCGATCACGTGAGACTTGCCACAACTATGAGCGGCAAGTTTTGAGCAGGGAGGTGTGCAGCCAGCATGTGCATAACATTGGCGCCACTGGTCAGTATGACTTTGCCATATGCGTTCATCACACAATTGTAGACCAGGACGCATCAGATAGTGAACCTTCATTGCCTGCGTCACTCAACGTGTTGGTCACGCCTTCAAGACCACAGTCTGAGGGCGCCCCGTCGGCGTCCTGCAGTCTCTGCCACAGCCCAAAGTGGCGGAGCACAACGCCACCGCCGGCTCGGGGCATGGCGAGGCGCCGCGCGCCGCCGGCGCGACAGCCTCAGCAGCGCAGCTGGCGCCGTCTGCGGCAACCAGCGCCGCAGCCATGGGCAGGGGCCTAAGAGCGGCGAATCCCTTGAGCTGTGCAACCGCCTTGGCGGCCTCGTGCTGCCGCGTGCGCTGCCCAGCCGCGACGCGCTGGCGCACCTTTCGCTGCGCCTCGCTGAACCGCTGCACGAACGCCTGTGGTTGGGACGGTGAGGCGAGGAGCGCATGGAGGAAAGCGGGTGCGTCAGCAATTGGGAATTCACCTCCCCGCCGCGGGGCTGGCTGATGGTGCTGCACATTGCCCTCAGTACCACGAGAAAATCTTGCTGCTGCAGCTGTCTGCGTGGCTCATGAGAGGCCTTGCAAACACCAGCAGACAGGACATCTCAGCGTCCCCAATCCCCTCATTCACACTTCACCTGCAAACCACTTTGCATCCCTGGCCCCAATTCCAGCTGGCCAAACCCCAACAGCCCCCAGCAAGCT